CATAACTATATGAGATCATCCTTTGTATGCCAGTCATAGAAGTGCTGTCCTAGTAGCCTAAATTAACATTCGTGGCCAACTTTTCAATTCAAAAAATGCCAACAATAAGCACATCTAGGAAAACAAAATAAAAGTACTTTAAAAAAGTGAACACAATAGGATATTTGATCTCAAATCACTATAAGAACACGTCTCTGGAATTTTTCTCTATTGAGGACCATAAATTTTGCAAGCAAGATTATCTAGGTAACATCAGGTGGCCTATGCCTTAAAAGTCCTTTTTATACCAAAGTCCTTAAATTAGCAAGAGAAACTAAAAGTAAAGCGATAGGTATCAAAATAAACCAAGAACTATAGCTTGACTTAGACAAGTCACAAGCACAAGCCTGATAAAGCGAAGTAGAAGACACATACCACGCCCTTCAAGACTATATCTGTTTCGGAATCATGATTCTGATAAACTACACCAGGACAGTCAATCAAGAAGATCCTCTTTGTGAGTGTAATGTACTGCCACACTTTAGTCTCTCCTGGGATAGGAGCCACCTTGCAAACCTATTCCAAAGGAAAGGAGCAAAGGTCAGTTTCACAACCAAATCAAAATGTATGTGGTTGTCTGAGCATAGTACTCAAAGTGAGATTTCATTTCACAAGATTTGACTTTTTAGACGTCAAGTACAGGTGACAAGAAAAGCAACTGCCATTATCTGACAAGAAAACAAGTTTCCTTTATTTAATATTAAACGGAGAAGGTGAAAGGATAGGAAATTAAGTTCTAGAGCTGTATAAATATCTGATACTCATGAATATAGTCTGGAACATCAAGTTTACTCTTTTTTTTTTTGATAAAGGTAACATAAGTTTACTCTTCACTATCCTGCATTTAATCTTTCTAAAAGCAGCATCACTTGATAAGCTAAAATCAAATTTGGGAACAGCTTGAATGGCAATCACAATTTTTCGATAACGAGGAAGAATTGTATCAGGTAAAGAGTCTCATTAAGATAAGAGCAAAAATTGAAGTAACAAATTGTGCAATTCACCAATCATGTCTAACAAAGAAGTATCATGGAAAAGATTATTCTTAAGGAGACAAATTGCAAACTGTCTCAGTAAATGAGCAAAGAAGATTACAACAGACTGGAAAAGGCAGAAGAATATATGGAAAAACTTACATTCTTTGTGCGCAATGTATTAATAACTGATGACTTGCCAACATTGGGATAGCCTATAAAACCAACAGAGATTGCTTGCTTATCGCTCTTTAGTCGAGAAAACTGTCTCAGCACTGACAAAAGAGAACCCTGAAGGCACAAGAAAACAAAATAAGTAACAGAAAAAAGTTACCCGCAGGGGCACAAGCACATGGATGCACAATTAGCCATAATTTTACAATTCACTATGGTGCTTAGTGTATGTCTGTATTCAGAGGTGGGGCAAGATCAGAAGACACTACAAGAATACCTTTCCAAAGGACTTGGTGACACTTGCATGAAATGCCAAAGTTGGATATTCCTTGGAGAGCACTCTAAGCCATCCCTTTGTTGCCCAAGCAGGGACCAAATCACACTATATAGGCAGAAGAAATTATCAATTGGGACAAATCCTGAAGTTAAAACTGACGTCCAAAATAAGAAGCCAAGACAGCTCGAACAAGGAGAGGCCGAAGGAGGAAATGGAAATATATAAAAAAAAGAAATGTCTACTATGTTGATAATAATAGCAAACCTTATTAAGCAAAAGGACCATATGTTTGTGCTTGCAATTTTCTTTCAAATGTTTCTCCAAATGGTAGCACCTTGTACCATAGGGGTCTCTGGCATCAAGAACCTGCAATCCAGATTAACCACAGTAAGCTACAACTTCCAGCAGTATCCCTTTCATCTAAAATATCCTCTACTTTCCTCCTTAGACAGAGAAAACTAGATCAGAACATTACACTGTCCATACGCAGCAGACAGGTGATTTTTGAATAAGGTAAACAATTTTATTAACAATGGGGAACTCTCCTGTAATTATGGAGCAGACCATGAAGTATAGAATCTACAACATAACACGATTCTCTAAGTAAGAACGACATTCAATTTCTACACTAACTGGAACTTCATGGGTCCACCAAATAAGCAACAAGGAAAAAATCAGGACAGACAAGTTGAGCCTGGTATGCTTGGTTAAGTAATATGTGGTTGTTTTACACTTGGCTACAAGAGATTTTTTTTTTGCATTTTTCACCAGAAAAGCATTTAGTTGGAAGAAAATCAACATCAAATAACATACTCCATTTTAGATATTAGAAATAGCAGGAGTTAAAAGCCACGAAACAAACCTGAACAACAACATCAGAAGAGTCTATGACTTTGTAGAGCTCGCTCCAAATTCGTTTACTTTGTCCTTTCTCAAACATTGTGTGCCTAACAAGATCTCTGAATCCATCTGCATTTTCATCCACGGAGGTGCTAGCACCATGTTTGTCTTCAAAATCATCTGCCAAAAATTCAAAACAAAATTTTGTTGAACCAAATAGCTCTTAAGTGCTTAGCAAACAAAGATGAATTTAGCAGTCAGGAGATACTTCTCAATTCATACCATGAGACACATCAACCTTCTTCACTAAAGCTTCATAATCTAATGCCATAAGTTTGGGGCGTTTCCTCTTTGTTTTTGGTCCAAAAGCATCAGCGAAAGGCTCGTTGTCAAGAAGATGAACTTTTACTTGCTTTAATTAAAAAGAGAAAAAGAGAACAGTATTAGCAAACAGAATCCAGAATCAAGCATAAAGCAACAAGATTTAGCCTCAATTTGCCAAGTTATTCTACAAACACACAAATAGAACGTGTGTGTATCACAGGAAGCTCCCAAATCATACAATAATGAGTGCACATTAGAATTACGATAGCAGAGTAAGGAGGTTCACGGTGATTCAGCAGGAACATAAGAACAAGTTGTTAAATGATAAGACCAAAGGAAAAGAACCTCCCATACCTTCTGATGATCATTTAAAAGGGACATGGGCAACTTCCTTTCTTTTAATATAACATTGTAGTTACTGGAAAGCCGAGTTTGGAGCTCTTCTCTAAAGAACTCCAGTGCCTTCTGGTTGACCACCCGAGTATTACCTGTGAAGTCAGAAAATCAATTCCTAATTCAATTATTTGAACATAGTTCAGCCATACACGAAAGAAGCATTAACAGACCAAAGATGATATTTTAACGATGAAAATTTAAAAAATTCAGCTCAATTTAATCATTAATGCTCCCTCCACCTAAATATTAACACTTCCACACTAATCCAATGCCAATTCTAATATATTTCAGCAACTAAATTAAGTCATTTGGCAAATAAATCTTCAGAAACACAAACTACACGAGTACTACAAATTATCTCTGCTGGAAAAAGCTATATTTTGTAATTAGTAAGAACATAGACGTGAAAAGTGTGAAACTTTTCGGAACATACCGAACCAACGACGATCTGGTTGTATCCTTGTTGATGGCAGCTCCTTTGATTGTAAGTCATGCTTAATTATGTGACCCTGAGGATTACGCTTCGGCCTCGTATTGTACATCTTGAGCCGCCGCACAGTAGCGGCGCTACGGCCATTTTTGGCTGCGCCGACATCCCTATTGGAGTCCAAGGAATGCTTTGGCTTTCCCGATACATTCACCGACCTCTCTTTCTTCTTCGCCATCTCCGATATACGAAGAACAAAACTAGGGTTTAGGAATCGGCGATTAACGTTTATACCTCAGTCGTCTCGGCCGGTTTGGAGTATACACTCCACAAAGAAGAGGAGGCGTTAGAGCTAAAACCTAGCTTTTCAATATGTGTGAATTTGTTGGTTTAGAAAATTACTCTAAGCTTCTTTGACTTTAGCTTATTTATGCTTTGGTATACTAAGTTTTTTTTCTTCAACTTTGCTCTTTTTCCATAGGCGGGGCGGGTTACGTTGTTTGCGGGTGATATACTAATTTGTTTTTTCTTCAATTTTGCTCTTCTTCCTATAATTAGAAATTTGGAACTTTTTCGAGTTGAGATTGCAATAAGGCGGGGTGAGTTATGTTGTTTGGGGTAGGATGAGTTAGAGTTTTTCCGGATGCATAATAAATTTAAATATATTTACGAACGAAGATATACGAATAAATACACTTTAATTGACATCATTCACTTTATTATGAACAATTTAAGTGTATTTGGTGACTGGTATAACGAAAGTCATTTTCTTTTTCACCAAAAATACTTTTGTAAAACATGTTTTATAAGTGTTTGATTGTTGAATAATTTTTTTATATTTAAAGTTTAACAATGATAATATAAGCAAATGGGGAAGTTCTCTAATAAACTTTTGAGCGGTAAAACCAATGCATGGTGCAAATAATATGAAGGACAAATTACAATAGAATTACAATAGAGTAAGAAACATGACTAGAGTTCAATTCCCTTCTTCGGATTTACCCGGTGAGCATAACTCTTGTTCGGGTAGATGGTGTTGATTTCTGGCAACTTGCTAAATTTCACCATGTAGTGGCCAACGCCTACCCTAATGCTCCTGCTCCGGACCTTATTATTGGCTTTGCTTTGAGCTTTCAGTCACGATTGACTTTAAATCAATATAAAACTCAGTAGATCGTGAGTCTTGGTTCTTAGCGAAATTCAGAGCACATTGGGTAAACATCAAGAATAATCGCATAGGAGAGATAAATTACACTAAGCAAGTCTCGTACGACGAGCTCAAGTGAAAGTGTTACAGTACACAATATGGATTTGGCATTGTAAGACATAATTTGTTGCTAAGAATGACCATTTGATCAAGTTTCGACAACCAACTAAATAACCATACATTTGCTAAATTCACTCATCTCCCCCCACAGGCGCTGATGTTGCAAAGTTGGACATAAAAAGTACATAGCTAATCCTGCCACATTTTTTTTAATCAAAAAATTCACAGTGATATCAAAATCCAAAAGAACTTCTGGAAATTGAACGTTAAACAAACTCAGAATGAAAACAAAATCAACTCATAGAGGAGTTATTCCTCAAAGCCAAAATCAACAGCAATTGTCAATAGTCGCTGTTCTACCAAACATTCCTAAAAACTAAGTACCATAGTTGTCTTCTTGATATTTATAGAAGACCCTACTTTTACTTCCCTAAAATTCTCGAATCAACTGAAGTATCTACTAATTTACTAAAATCGGAGTTATCCAATCTTATCTTTGGCGTCTCCCTCGAATCATCTTGGAAAAAAGGTCGATTTAGATGATCTGTCTCTTCATGAATTGTGGGAGGAGCGATCTGCAAAAGAATTTTTTGATTAACAACATACCCAGTATAATTCAACAAATGGGGTTTTGGGAGGGTAGGATGTACGCAGAGCTTACTCCTACCTTGAGATAGAAATGTTGTTTCAAATAGATAATTTTTTAGTAGTGAAATATTTTATAGTATTTGTTTTAAGCTTCAATCTAATATTCTAAAAGCGCATACCTAGAAACAATTTTCTTTGTCAATAACAAAAGTGCATACACAGAAACAATAAGCATAAACTCTTAATGTTGTGCATTCTCATTTCATACCTTAAGGCGTATCGGCCTTCTTGGCTAATGATTTAAAATGTTTTGCGTGTTTCTTCTCTGTTCCAGCAGAAGGCTTACTGCCAAGTTGATGAGCTTTTCCTTTCTTCACAAAGGTAAAAGAGGACGAAATTAGTAAAACATAATGGGGAATCAAGCACGAGTACGTAGTGCGTAACAAGTTATATTTAAAAAGCATCAAGATGATGCATAATTACAAACAAGAGGTCTGTTATAGCTCGAATACATCAGAAACAAACTAGGCTAAGATCAGGGAGCTAACAGAATCAAAGTTGGTCATTGTTATTTAATGAAGTCAAGTTATTCCAACTAAACAAGTTAAGTAAACATCTAGCTCGTGTTCTTATTTATGAGCTATTCAATACATATTACATAACACGAAGCTCACTAATAATTTGTTGAAATGTGTTTAGGCCAGCAGGTACCAAGTAACTCTGTCCACCAATGCCCGATGGGAAGAAATTATCACATGACCAATACAAAGGTTTACAACGAGTCGGATAGAGATTGACAAACAAATCAAATTCTTAAACAAATAGACTCAGGGAAAAGACACTATGCATACCTTCTTGCGCTCATTCACAAGGGACATGGGCAAATTACTTCCATTCATTATGATATTGTAGTTGCTTGAAAGCCGATCCTGAATCTCTTCTCTAAAGGATTCCAATTTCTCCTGACTAATCACCCGAGTATTGACTGTAGAATCCCGAAAATCATATCAATTTCAGACGATTGATCACATATAATCCACCATAATAGCAATTGAACAATAAGAAAATCAAAACATATTCAGCTAAATTTAAACATTAATACACCCTGCTCCTGTGATCCAATTCACTAAGAAAGTCATCAATTCGATCAATTTTCGTATCATAAACTATATATAAAATCTGAAAGTTATAATTAACCTTGTAATGACGAACAAATAGATTCTACTTGCATTTATAAAACTTTGTGGGAAGAGTACATACTGAACCATCGGGGATCTGGTTGTATCCGCGTTGACGGAAGCTGCTTTGATTGATACTTGTGCTTCAATATTTTGCCCTTCCGATCACGCTTCGGCCTACAATTATACATCTTCAGCCGCCGTGTAGTGGCGGAGCTACGGTGGCAACTTTTGTTCTTTGCCATTTTGAGTGAATAAAAAAAATTAGGGCTTTTTAAAATATTAAAAAGCATGCACGGAGAATGTCAACATCAACAGAATATATTGCGACGACCCAAATCGAGTTGTGAGTGGCACCCACACTTAACCTCTTAGGTGGACGAATCAATGAATTCAACCCCAACTTATATTTATCATTCAGCTTATAAAATACTAACCATAATACGGAAGCTTAAATTTTATTAGTGTAAGAAACACAAATCCATTATAGTCATTCCCAAATTTCTCAAATTGCAAGTCTAGGATTAAGTCTCCAAATCAATTAATCTAATGATATTAATATAATGTAATACACGTAACTATCTCAATAAATTAAAACTTGAATCAAACTTATAATGCTATACAAAAATTTCCAACCCAGAATCTAAGTTAGAAGCGGTGTTGAAACTACCATCATGAAGAAAGAACGAACAAATATATATTAATTTGATGATCCATCATCACCTAATGATTGGCTTTTAATTCCATTTAGTAGCCGTCAAAGATTAAGTGACACTTCTGCCTAAAGTTCACTACAATTGAACAAACAAGAGAATTGAATCTATATAATTAATGCATTCAACGACTTTTCCTATACCATCACTTTCTTGCAAACAATTATATCTATACAAAGTAATACATTCTTCCCACAATTCTGCATGTTAACAATTAATAAAGAAGCTTACCCCTAGAAGATCCCACAATTGATCTTTCATATCGCCGCCCAGGTAAGCCGTCTCCTCAATTTGGAGAAAATGAAATAAATAGTAACTTAACTATAAGAGTAGGTCTAAAATGGTTTCTTAATTATACACTTAACGGATTTAGTCTTTTAACTATTCAAAAACTTATCAGCTTTGGTCTCTTAACTATACATTTACTGGTTTTAGTCCTTTAACTATAAACTTACCGATTTTAGTCCTTTAAGTATGTAAAAGCTTATCAGATTTGGTCTTTGTCTATTTTTTTTAATACAAATAGCTTAGGTTTATATTAACGGAATCCATGCCTCGAGAAATTAAATCCTTTAGCAATTTTTTCTATTGTTTCTCTCTCCGCTATTTTTTTTTCAAATTAACCTTATGCCAAGAACCTTAACTTCAACGATTTAAAATAAAATTCACGAGAAAAGAAAATATAAGTCATAATTTTATTCAATGGATGATAAAATGAAACATATTTATTGCTACTAATGACTTGAATATGCTAAACTTTATTATAAAAAGAAAAAAATTATCACCCGTTGAATCCAAAGTTTGTACTCCAACGACTTCATTGAATGAAATTTATTTATTTTTTCAGAAATTGAAATTTATAAAATGGTAAATTTGTAATTATTTTAATCTTTTTTAAATAGATCAATTTTATTATTCTATTCATTTTATTTTACGTAAAGAAATTTGAGTAAATTAAATAAAATCCGCATTGATTAGCAAATTCAAGTCATTAACAACAATTATATGCTTAATTTTATCCTCCATTGAATAAATTAGGATTTATATCTTCTTTCCTCATTAATTTTATTTTGAATCGTTGACGTTATTGTTCTTTTCATAAGAGTAGTTTGAAGAAAAGGGGGGGGGGGGATAGAGAAACAACTTAAAAAATGGGTTAAAGATTTAATTTCACGAATATTTTCATTAATTTAAATCTAAGCTATTTGTATTAAAAAATGGAGAAAGACCAAACCTGATAAGTTTTTGAATACTTAAAAGACTAAAATAGATAAGTTTATAGTTAAGGAACTAAAGCCGGTAAGTGTATAGTTAAGGGACCAAAGCTGATAAGTTTTTGAATAGTTAAAGGACTAAATCTGTTAAGTGTATAGTTAAGGGATCATTTTAGACCTACTCATATAGTTAAGGGACTATTTATGTCATTTTCTCCCTCAATTTGTTTTCACAGGTCAATTTTATTTTTTTCCCATCCTTTTTACCACCCTAATTATTATATAAGACCAATTATAAAAGTGGTAAAAGTGACCCCCTACTAATTTTAATGTTATTTTCTTTAACCACCAATTAAATTAGTTATTTAAACTACCCCTTAATCATATAACTATAGTTACGAATAGTCCAAAATATCCATTTAGAACCTATCGAAAGAGTCTTTTATGAAATAAAAATGTCTAGTACCCAAAACGACGAAAAGGGTCGTTACATTTTGTTCTGAAAATTACTGTAAGATCCTCTAAACTTTAGCTTATTTGTCTTTTTGCATTCTAAACCTTTTCATATTTACGCCTTTTCCCGGATATCCTCACTATTGAATTTTTTGACTTCGAAGAAATAACTTGTACTATCAACTACTTGAAGCAAACATTTTTACTTGTCTACTTTGGAATTTATATGATTTGATGACAAATTAAAATGGACAAATAATATGTCAAGGTCATTTTTTATTTTTGGTTTCCCACCCGATGTTTGATACCTACATTGAAACCCGACTAAATTCAAATTCATGTTGGAAGGGTTTTTTTGGTTTCCAACCTGATGTCCAGTACCCACATTGAAGCCCGACTAGATCCGAATTTGCATTGGAAAGTCCTACATAGGGGTGTTTGATTTCCCACCTAATGTCCGATTAAGTCCCACATTGGGGTAAAACTCTTCCCTAACAAAGGTGACTCCAAACCCAAAAGGAACTCAAACTTGAGACCTTTGGTTAAAGATGAAGGCGTACTTACCACGACCCTTGTTAGGGTCAAGGTCATTGAGATACAGCCATATTTTGAAAACCAAAACAACATAGTTGTCATGTACTTTATATTAAGATTTCAAAGTATTTTCTTATATTTACATTCAATGAAAGAATTGTGTAAACAAGGGCATGAGAGCTCCATCGATAATAATAAAAGGAGAAAATTATAAAGTAATAGCCTTTTGTATACAACTGATTCTATCTGCCATATTCAGTTGCTGCTCATTGTGCAATAACTGAGTTCTCAACCAACTATATTGTTAACATATACTAGTACTAGTAAAGAAAAATGCTAGTATTATCCATGCTACACAATTGCTACATCGTAATAGCTGTGTTTCGACTCCACTGTACATTCTCGAGTAGTAGCATCTAAGTTACTAAAACACTCAGTTACCTAATCTTCTTTTGGCTTCTCTCTTGCATCTTCAGTTTCATTATTCTCCAACAACCTGAATTTAAGTATATTTTGAAGCTGTGTAACTGGCTTGACTTGTTTGGACTTGGTTTGCTTAGGATCTAACGTGCGCCTTCCTGGGCAAAGGTTAGCTTCAGAAGGTCCCGCCTCTTCATGGACCACCGGAGGGGTATCTGCAAGAACGTTTGCTTAGTGATAAATTCCAGATAGATTTGAAGAATTTTTGTTCTTTTATATTATCCAACTAATATGCGAAAATCATGAAACTAGAAATACTGGATGTAAGTAAGAGTTGTGCCAAGGAGTCGTGGACTAAAAAATTCTGAAGGCCCCCGCCTATCCTTATGTTCCATTGTGTAGAATGCACATTATGTTAAGAGGTTCCCTGGTTCACAGTCTACTATGTGCCTAATGTTGTCACAAACTATCATTCATGGATACCAGGAGGCAACCCAGTGTCAGAATTACACCAGAAAATCAAATTTAGAAAACAGTAAACTTGTTTGTACCCCTAAAAAACATCTAACTGCAGTTCAGTTATAAAGAATCAAGTTCTGACCCCAGGCATATTTTTGTATGGTAGAAACAGGCAATGAGATGGAACACCACCACAAACGTTGAAGCTAGATTAAAGTAATCAGAAAAGTAGCTCATTCCTTCTCTTTTACAATTATAATATGTTGCGGAGAGGAACATGGCTTACCACTTTCATAAAAAACAAGGCATGTGCCAATAGTCTCATCATACTGTCCAATCTGCAAAACATAAATAAACAACAGTTGAGATAAACACACTTCTACGGTACGAAAATAACATACGGACTAATCAGCTTAATTGCCCAACGGGGGTTCATATGCATGTGAGGATAATCAAAAGATACAACATATTTGGAGTGTATAACCACAATTGTTACACCCACTCTCCATTATATCTACTTTGTTTTCCCTTCACCAACTCTTTTGTTCTAGAAAGATCTCAACTAACGGCTCGCCAGAAATAACAAGGGGGTTGAAATGGATACAATCTGTCTATATCCTCTCACGAATGGAAGACAAAACTGTGAGGAGTGAGGACTGAGACCTATCAGCCACATAGTTTTATTTAAGTGCATTATTGTCTATTTTGCAAGAAATAGCTAGACAATAAAGTGAGTGTAATGTCACTGATGTAAGTGTGGCAGCCTTTTGGGATGTAAGGATGTCAGCGCCATCGGGGATCAAGATGACTGACCACTGTAATGACTAATGTCACTAAGGAAATACATACCTTTATAAGAATATTACCACACGAACAACTAATCTCACTAAGGAGGTATATTATAATTCTGTAAACATGATTGAAAAATTCAAAACAAAAATGAACCTGAATCAGCCTCGAAACAGCAACTCACCAACTTGATTTTACCATCGATGGTCAAGATGGGGTTCAATGTGTCAAGACCCTGCAAAAAAAAGTTACAAAATTAAAGAAACAAAGCAATTGCAATAGTTTTCAAGAAGCAATGAGTACCTAACAAGTCAAAAGAAATAAAAGGAAAGGCCAAAAGGGTTATCACTTAGTTTTGAATCTATAAGAAAACATCAAAACATTTGAAACAGAAAGGTGAACTTGGGGTCATACCGAGAGAACATATGGTGCATTTGGGGGAATGTAAATTTCGCAAGGAAGGTCATCCAGATCAAGCAATATATACTCTGCTTCCTCCATGTTGTCATCACAAAGTGACTGGTTTTCCATCATACAGCGCAGCAGAAAGTAACAACACCAAGAATTGCAATGGATGATAAACACAGAGGAGGGAAAAAAAGAAAGGAGAAAAACTGAAAAGAGAAAAAAGAACGTGTAAAACAACGACGAAGGAAAACCTTACGTTTTCATTGTACAACAACTTTATATATATATGTCACATTGCCCCAT